CGCTGAAATTGCTGCCACACCGAGATTTGAACTCGCGATCTCTTCCGTCGGGCGAACGTCCTAAAAGTCGAGCTACAAGCCTACGGTCTCGCTGGTATTAGATCGGGAATATACAGTGGCATATTAATATATTTAAAGTCTATAGGCATAGACCTATATACACATACAATTTCGGTCTATGTCTGTCGACCGAAATTGTATGTACTGATGTATTTTCAAAGAAAGGCCTTTCCTTGAACTTACCTTTCTTGGGATGCCTGCCTTTCAGTTTATACGAAATACTGATGTATACCGCGAACAAAAATTAATTTCTACGGAGATTAAAAAGCTGAACAGGTTCAATGGTCAGAAAATACACATTTAAAAGTCGTTTCGGTATGGTCCGTTAGCCCTGCGTACAAATGCGTGAACTGAAGGACTTCTAAGCTGTGATTAGTAGTGCTATAAAGGTCAAATTAGGCAGCCATTGCAGTCTGAGCATAGTTCCGAAGGAAGAAATACTTATCCTGTCAGCCAACAACAACAACAACAACCTTCCAGACCATTGGTTTTTCATGGTTTTAGGACGTAATAGAATGCTTATTGGCGAATACCAATCTAAATTGCGAGTAGGAAGATATCCTCTTGTTTTCTCATGTCCTCAGTGGCTTGTCTGTGCCTGTCGGCTTACTGGAAGTGAGACTGGTCATCGCGACCGTTTTTTGCGTAAAACCCCGTGCGTAAAACGCGTGCAATTTGTACACATCCAGTCTCTTCAATGTCAACAAACTTCGCAGCCGAATCTACGCACGAGTAACACGCGTTTTCTTAGTGCGTGAATATGATTGGACAGGGATGGACAACGATTGGGAGTGGTGGGCCCGCGTGATCACAATAAGTGTACATAGGCATGCGCCCAAATAGAACCTTGCATGGCGGCTTGATATACGCATAGGGAATGGGCAGAGCTGTCGGACTGAAGTGATATTGGTGGGGACTTTCGTCGTTGATTTTCAAGTCTTTCTACGATTAAATCCTTTGTTAAAATGGAACCGACAAAAACAGAGGGCAGACCGGAATCGCCGTTTCCGGCTTATTAGCCGTCATCAGCCAGTCATGCCAAATTCAAGGTGTGTATCACCCGGGGTTCGAACCCGCGAACCTTTGGTTATGGAGTGCGACAGTCTACCACTGAGTTACGAGCACGTTGTTTTTTCTTGGCTACAATCGGGAATATGATGATAGTATGGTACTCACTGATCTTATTACGAAACATGCTCCTCCCGTGTTGCCTTTGAGCCCAATCCAGAGCTGAAATAATCATATTCGCGTTAGCAACAGACAAAAATAATGGGACACATAGCTCAATAGTAAAACATATGTTTAAATGAAACGTACAGAGACAAGGGAGACCAGAATGGTCGTTTCTGGCTTATTAGCCGTCGCCAGACAGTCATACCAAATTGGAGGTGTAGATCACCCGAGATTCGAACCCGTGACCCTCTCGTGTGACACTCTACCTCTGAGTTACGGGCCCGTTGTTTTTGTTGGCTACGATCGGGAATATGATCATAGTAGGGCGCTCACTGATCTGATTACGGAACGTGTTTGTCCCGTCGTGCGTCTCAGCTCCATTTAGAGCTCTCGTGGGCAATGACATAACGACTTTTAATATATGCTGAACCAAGCATATTCTCGATTTTAACCAACAAAAATAGCGGACCCGTAGCTCAGTGGTATATTGTCACACTCCATGATCGAAAGATCGCAGGTTCGAATCTCGGGTGATCCACACCTGAGATTGGATATACTTGGCTGATGATGGCTAATGAGCTAGAAATGGCCATTCCGGTCTCCCTTGTCTTTGTAGTTTCCACTTCAGAATATGTTTTAAGTTGCTATACGACTGCCTACGAGGGCTCTAGCCCCAAGACTCAAAGGGTCGGGCATATTCGGTAAGTAGATCGGTGAGCACCCTAATATCATAACTTCTTAATAGATAAGGAAGAAGGATTTTCGAGCATCAGACCAGTTTGTTTACTATCCTGAGCTTCCGAACTCTTACCGGAATCCACCGTCAAAGATCAGAAACAGCAACACAAAGGGCTTTAATTATAGTGGGTGTCCACCAGTCAACTGTCAGGGATCGTCAGCTCGTAAGGAGGTAGGTAACAACCATGAAAAAAGGAGGGGATGGGGGCGGCAATTATAGAGATATTCGTTACTTAGCTGTCAGTGATGTAAAAATTCTTCACGGCGTCAGCAACGAAAATGGGGGTAATTAAAGAGGATGTTAGCCAATTAACAGCTATGACGGACGGACGTCTGGGCTTGACTGCGTAAGGCTATGTACGCTGGTGCCAACTCGATACAACTCGGTTGGTTAAATTTCCGTCCGGCTTCAATCAATTCCTGCCTCATCTTGTTTCTGGCGTGGGCGAGTACCTTGACGGCCTGTTTCATAGGTATGCCATGAAGTGGCCAATGCCTAATTGGAATGCGCTGTCACGTGGCACACCAGTCAGCACAATGCTGGCACCGTTGACGGTTTCCTGGCGTTTTCCCTACTTTGATCGCTAAAATGGTTTTGTG